TGTTACCCTTCCTTTCATCCATCGGTTTTCATTAGGAGCTTATTTTCTTAGGCTCAGGGTAAACCCAGCTCAGGAGAGACAGCCAGGTCCTCCAGGTCCAACCCACACAGATTCATCCCTACCATCCCATAACTCAGAGAGACGGATCAAATCCAAAAGCGCACTGATCCACCTGATCCGTCTGCTGAAGCAGCAAGACGCTGCCGACTGCAGTGTGAGCTCACACACACCCGTCAGCTCCCGAGGTCCTCAGCGCCCCGCCCTGCAGAGCTCAGGCTCCCAGAAGCCAAGGTCCTTCATCAAGGCGTCCTGTGACATCCCGACCACGTTTCCAACGGCGCCGCCACACACATCACTCAGCAGGGAGAAAGAAAACATATAAGCCAGGATCAATTTACAAGGCAGCTAGAGCCTGCAAAACTGACCTTATATAACTGACCTTTTGTATTAACAGGCATAACATTAATGGACAGAGTGCCTTGGGGTGACTGTGTTGTGAAAGGCGCTATATAAAAATAAACTGAATTGAATGAAATAACAGTGAACCCTATGCTAAATCCAGGACTTAAGCCTCTGTAATACCAAAAATGTCACTCAGGGCTGCACATGCAGACTCAGTGGGTCCGAAACAAGGCCAAGGACCCCAGGCAGTCGTCTAGTATGTGCCCATCAGGTCCGGCCCTGCGGCGCTTAACACCACCGGGCCAGATGCATTTGCCGTGATCCAGGATGGAGGACAGGGGCCCGGGGCCCGGGGCCCGGGGCCCTCACTGAGGCCATCTGGCAGAGCAGCTCCCATGCAATGGGAGTGTGAATCGAACTGCCGTGGGGAGACTTTGTTCTGAGAAACCTATGGTGCGGCCCAGCCCTCTAACTGAATGACCCCACACCCCCCAAACTGGGCCCCCGCTAATCCCACACTGTGGCAGCACCACATCAACTCGGGTGACCTTCCCAAGCAAGAAACGCTGATCCCTAAATCCGCCTCAGCATTTCCATGTTGTGCCTGTCGGGATCAGCCAGCCGTGAGACTCCGAGGCCGAAACGAAGAAGCAGAAAAAACACCCCCTCCCAGAGTGGCTGCTTGCACACAGGGAGCGAGCGACTGGCCAGGGTAGTGGTTGGGGGGGGCAAGCCAGGAGGTGGGAGGAGTGGAGCACATACCAATTCTGCCATGTCAGATGATATCATTAACAGACAGAATTGGGGACCAATCACATTTCAAGGCGCTGACCCACAGAATGATTCCCAAACCAAGATCCAGCCAATCAGGTGCAGACCAATCACAGGGAATTGGATGAGAGGGAAGGGGGAAGTGTGTAAGCATTATGGGATAGGAGCTGCGTTACCCGGCGACCACGGCATCCCGTGGTTAGCCTGCACTGTTACGTCCCTCATGCACTAACCACTCACTGTGGGATGTGCGTAGCTTAGTGACAGCCCCCAACGCCTTTTTACATGCGCCCACCGACAACAGGGGGCGCCACCTGCAAGGTTCACAAGCCCAGCCAGGAAAATAAGTAAAGCAACACAGAAAAAACCAAGGCAGGCGGCAATTGCAACCCAGCAACACGTTACCCAGGGAGACTGTGAGGAGCACCGTGTAAAAATACATGTGGGATTCGGGGATTCCCCACAGTGAGAACATGGGAACACACACATGCTCACACTCACACACACTCACACACACACTTATACACACACTCACATCACACTCACATCCCATCACACACAGAAGTCCACCACCAGCAGTTCCTTTCTAAACTGAATGAAGGGAAAAGCAGGAGCTCGGATTCCGGCTATCCACACGCAACACGCTCACAAACGCTTCATGCCATGAAGCACAGGCTGACAGATAAGCACATTTAATGGCCTAGCAGGTCAGATTGCCGTGTCTGTAATCAGAAGGTCGCCAGTTCAAATTCGAGGTTCGGCAGAGTGATCTCCAGACCAACCAGGCTGAACCGAAGCAGTTTGTGTCAGTGGAGAACAAACTAGTTCTCCACACTAACAACCGCAGGCCCTGCAGGTCAGGATGCATCTGCACAACCCTCCTGTCCACCACATTGAGAAGCTCTCATGTCAGATTACATCTGATTTTGACCTCACAGCTACATTTGTCGTCAGACTGACTCCGGAACAGAGCCGCGTGGCTCCGACCTCAGGTGACATATTTATACTGCAGAGAGGACGATGCAGTCACATGCAGTCACCACAGAAACAGTGACCATACTACGTGCGGGAAAAGAGCGAGATGACCAAGAAGAAACCGGAATATAGGACAGTGAGCAAAAAATCAAGGAATGTGACAGCATTGTGTTCATGTCATTACAGGTAATCAATTAGACATGATGCCAGGGGCAGGTGAGAGCAAATAATGTACCGTATTACTCAGTGCACAGAAATATAAAGCAGACTGGCCCTGAATTCATACATCCAATGTGTTATTCTGCTGAGGCTCAGCACAGGGTAAGGCAGCACAGGGCAGCACAAGACAGGACAGCACAGAACCGCACAGGGTAAGACAGCACAGGGCAGCACAGAACAGGATAGCACAGCACAGGGTAAGACAGCACAGGGCAGCACAAAACAGGACAGCACAGGACAGGACAGGACAGGACAGGAAAGAACAGTGCAGTGTAGGACAGTATAGCACAGGAAAGCATAGGAAAGGGCAGGACAGCACTGGACAGGACAGGACAACACAGGGAAGAAGAGGGCAGGAGAGGGAAACTCAAACTATGACATTGAAAACTAGAGATGCTCCGATCAGCATTTTTGGGGCCGATCACCGATTACCAAGATCATGATCTGCCGATTGCCGATCACTGCCGATCACAGAATGGCAGGGGAATGGGAATCTTTTATCTATAATCTAGCAGAGTTTGCATCATTTGTAGAAATGAAACAAACTCTAAATTAACTATATTGAAAAAAGAAAACTGTAGAAATAGGCGACAGTCAAGATCTTGAAGAATCAAGCGCTTGACACTTGGCGCCCCACACTGCAGGAGGGGCAGTGACACTTTGGTCAGCACTGTTGCCTGACACCTCCAGGGTCAACACATGAAATGTTCCCCAAGAGCAGAGTGGTTTAGTTTCTCATACTCGGCATATTCAGTTGTATGGCGTGTTCTAAGATGCCTAATCATGTTAGTGGTGTTAAAATGTCGTTGCTTGCTTCCACCTCGAGGGATTTCATCACGACATACATTGCAAACGGCTAACTTTACGTCTTTATCGGACACTTTGAAAAACTTCCAGGCGGGAGAACTCATGTTGCCACTGGTAAGCTCCGCTCTGCTGTTGTTTACCTGTGCGCCGTGCATGCACGTGTGAACAAGTCGCGCGAGTAATTTACGTCAAGTGATCGGCTTTTTTGATCGCCGCTTTTGGGGTTCGCCGATCAAGCTATTTTTAGGCAATATTGGCCGATCAATCGGAGCATCACTATTGAAAACTCTTTCCCCACCAAGACCGTCACAGAGTGCTGGACCCTTCCTATCTGACTATATTGCACTCATTTCGGCAGGGGAGGAGTCTGTTAGGATGTTTGTATGTGTTGGATGGGGGGGGGTCATACTTAACACAGAACACTGTCACCATGAAAATGCAGTCCACAGCTATAAATAAACAAACAAGCAACCAAGCACACCATGCAGGAAATGACCCATGGACTGCTGTCACGGACGCATGGTCTCAGTGACGGTCACAGATCGGTGTCCTTCCAATCGGGGGTCCTCGTAGGTCTGTCTTTGTTTAACTAGCACACAGGGGGTGAGCACCAATACATCTATGGTCCATTCCTGCATAGACTGTCCCTGACTCACAGCATAAACGTATCACAGACCTGGTCCTTCCCTGCATACAGTGGCCCTCACTTACAGCATAAACGTATCACAGACATGGTCTGTCCCTGCATACAGTGTCCCTCACTTACAGCATAACTGTATCACAGACACGGTCTGTCCCTGCATACAGTGTCCCTCACTTACAGCATAACTGTATCACAGACACGGTCTGTCCCTGCATACAGTGTCCCTGACTCACAGAGTAACGGTAACACAGTGACGGTCACTCCCCATGTACAGTGTCCCTGATTCACAGCATAAACATATCACAGACATGGTCCTTCCCTGCATACAGTGTCCCTGATTCACAGCATAAACATATCACAGACACGGTCCTTCCCTGCATACAGTGTCTCTGATTCACATATAGGACTATTAGCAGTTAAGAAGCAGAAAAGCAGCTGGTTCGAGTTACACCAGGATGTGTGAAAGATACTTAATCTGCATTGTCTCAGTAAATGCTCAACTATACAAAGAGGCTTTTTTGCATTATAAACTAGCAAAGACATTCCCAGCTCTTCAGATGAAAGCCTAAACCAGTGTTTCTCAGCCCCAGAGGTTTAATTTCTGCTCCCTCCCAACTCCCAGCACACCTGTACCAGGTGTTCGGCGTTCCTGATTGGCTGGTTGAGGGTTGCTGGGTGAAGAAACACTGTCCTAATGCATTTAGAATAAACCATCTAAGAGCTTCTCAGTAGACAATGGGTAGATGGTGGATACCTACTGTAGACCGTTGCGAGAAGTCACAAACATAGCGAGTACAAACGGTCACTTTTGACAAGCACAGGTAAATACACAACTTGTAAACAGCCCCCCCTTCCCACCCCTCCACCCCCTGGTGGAACGAACAAGACAGGATCCTTCATTTCTAATCAGCTAACACGATTCCCACATGCCTCTTTGTACACAGTGAACTGAGGATACCATATAAGCACAGTAGGGGGTGCTGTCCTGTTGTGAGTAAAAGGTTAAAGATCCAGAGACACACTACTGCAGCAGGCCAACAACCAACATCTACAGCGCTCTCACTGAGAAGATCACGGCATTGAGAACAGACCACCTAAAATTCCCAATACTCAATGACTTTGTGTTTTGGGCAAATTTTGAGAGGAACTCGGTCCGACAGCCACAAGCGCGACGTCACCTCACCTAGATAAAGGGATGCGTTCTCCTTCTTGACGTTGTCGTCCAGGTAGGTCGGTCCCAGGGTATAGATGGGCGTGGAGCCCATGCCCACCAGTATCTGAGCGCAGATGAAGAGCGCCACGTACAGCGAGTGGTCATTGCCCTCCTGGTCCCGGGGGCATGAGGACGCCTCGAGGAGGTCACGCCTGCTGCTGTTGCCATTGAGACAGAGCCCCTCATTGGCCGTGGAGGAGTTCACCTCCTGGATCTGGTATGGAGGAGAGATAAAGTGGGGCAGCGAGAAGAGCCCAGCGCCAACGGCGATGAAGACCCCGCCCACCGCCAGCCAGCGCGGCCGCTGCCCGCGGCCCCCAAAGTAGCTGATGAAGACGACGACCAGCAGGCTGCCGATGTCGAAGCAGCTGACCAGCAGGCCGGACTCGGAGCTGCGCAGGCTGTAGCGCTTCTCGATGGTGGTGATGACGCTGCTTAGGTAGCCCGACACCATCAGCGACTGGATGAACGTCAGGTAGCACATGCAGAACAGGAAGCAGCGGGAGTCGGCCAGGATTATGCCCACGTATTTCCTGGCGGGAAGGTACATCAGTCTGCGCAGGGGGAACCTTAGCGCTCTGCTCTTTGTGGTGGCACCCTCGGTCTTCATGGAGCTGCTCAGACCCACCACGCTCGACGTGGACGGGGACAAGTCCGTCCTCGCCGAGGACTCCGGGCAGCTCAGGTCGATTTTCCGCAAACTGTCGTCCAGCGCCAAGCCCGGCTCCAGGTTCACGGACGCCTGCATCGTACTGACCAGCCTCGGCTCCAGGGAGTCCACTTCCGCCGGACAGGAACCATGCAGGATCGGCAAACTTTTGGATTTGAAGTAAGAGGCCGGGTCGGCGAACTGGCCCTGCGGCTGCAGCTGCTGCCCAGCCTCAGACAGATCACTCCCTGAGCCGTCGCTGTCGGACAAGACCATGCTGAAGGTTAAACGCGTAACTGTGTGAGGACCAAGCGCACACGGACACGGCAGCTAGCTAACGGTGCATGTCGCCAGCGGCTCACTCCGATGGCCAGAAGAAGCAGAACACAACATGAAAGGCTTGAGGGGCCCCTTCAGCCAGCATGATTTATCTGCATTGCTGCTTGAAGTCCTTTTCCTCTCTCTCTCTCTTGCTCTCTCTCTCATCTGCCTTGTGTGGGTTCCTCTTATCCTTCCTCTTCCAAATGATAATAAACAATCGTATACCGCATCATGCTATTTTTCGTCCTTATCTCCGATATGCCCCTTCGCTCGCGCACAGCAATGGTGGTCTTACATGGGCATGCACACAATGTCTGTACACACAAAGCCTTGCTCTGCGGGCTCTTTGTCACTTGTCACCGCATGTCCTCCAAAACGCAGTCCGTCCGCTTGATCTCGTCCCGACGGCGGAGCCGGACCCTGAAGCAGAAACGCAACGCAATTATTTTTTTTGTGTAGAAAAACACTGTTTTTTCGATTTAAACCGATATCACATGCATTGAAAAACACCGCCGCGGTGCATCGTCCTCTATGCATGAACTGGCTGGCGAGAGCCCAGTGCAAAGCTGCCCAGCCGGCGGAGGGTCCCGTTAATATCACATACGGGGGGGTTGGTTTCAAAAACTCACCCCGGCATTGATATGACACGCTCAAAAATTAACGCCAAATACATGCAGTACATCAGCGACGAGGGTCGCGGATAATCAGCGACTTCCCCCACCAGCCATACCGGTCCCGGCTTGGCCGGAGACTCGTGCGTTTCAAGGAGAATAAAGAGCCGACAATCATGCAGCGAGTGAAATGTGGGCTTTCGATGTGAAAATAGATGCGCTGCACGCTAAAGATCGCTACCCGCCGTTCAATAAATCCTTGAATGAAGCACCATATACTCACAGAGATGAGCGACAGGCTGTGCTGGTGCCGACCCGGCGGCTCGGAGTGAATGAGACTGCGGATGGTTAACGGAGGGGCGGCCCACGGTGCGCTGAGCATCGTGGGCAGTGTAGTCTGATATCGGCGACCTCGGCACTACGCTGACGGCGCGATATGGAGACAGTTCCAAAGGTTTCCTTAAAGCAAAAGGAAACTGGTTCCTGCGGCACGATAAGCATAATCCCCGGCAGGAGCGGTATGCCTTTCCGCCCTGACAGCGTTGCTTCGATCACGTCCGACTACAACATCCAAGGTGCCCAGCACCCTGCATGTCAGCCCCATCACGTGTAAGGTATCAGTCGAGACCCCGGGACCCCAGGCTTGACCACTGGGAGAAAGCTGGGAAATCTGAGCAAACACTCGACGCTAAGAGATCAAAATGAGCGGACATAAATTAGAAAGCAGGCTTCAGGCCCCGTCGCACTGAATGTGCTGTACCACTGGAAAATTGATGGATAAATGAGAAATAAATGAGGTTACTTAATTCGTTTACCCTGCATGTTAAACACTTACATCCAGACATGCTGGGAATCTTTTAGGAAGCCAGTATCCCTGAAAGGTCTCTATGTTCTTAGCAAAAACATTTTGCTCATGTCTCCTCATATGATTGTAGTGAGCTCTTAAGAGCCTTTTAAAATGCCTTTTAATGATGCATTTAAGTGGGCTTCAGGAGGCGGACGTTTTCCCTTCCCATATCTGTTGCCCACTCTCTTGATTTCTTGATCGTACTGAATTTAGTAATCTTAAGCCACGTCTATAGATTTCCCCGTTATTGTCAGATATATTTTATATATCGGAAACTTTGTAACGTTTAAGCAGCTGTCATTCTCAGACATGAGGAGTAGCAGTGACTGCGGGCTTCGGAGAATGACGCACATGTGCGGGTTTAAAATAACAGCCAGCTGACTGGGACACCTATTTACGAGAGGCGGCTACTTCCCTTCTCATTAGAAAAAACACAATTACTCCAAATTCGATTACCCTACTGCTACAACTGCATTTCCCATATGACAGAATAGCTAGTCTGATAAATAATACTTAAAATGCGCCAAAATATGCATATTCTGGTATTTTTAAATAAGGCATTTCAGCCGGAAGCATTATTGATTTTTCTGTGCTGTCTCAAATATACCGAGTTATATATTTACACCGATTTCATTTGTTGTTGATGTCATGTTTACAGTTCAGGAGATGCTGAGCAGATTAAATGTTTTTAAATATCTCCGTGATAGCGGTGCAGACGTCAGGACAAACAGCTGTGAGGCTGGCGGCCATCCAGGCACAGCTCTCAGTATAGCTGCAGGACGACACTGGATCTCAGGCTGCGGTGCGGCTCAGGGTCTCGTCGGGGATCGACATCGGCCAGGGTCCCTCTCATGTTGACAAACCGTGCATTATGCTGATATTCATATTAACCGGTGAGCCGCACAACATTAATATCGAAGCAGTTTTTGCGATCTTTGCTTTTCGGCTGCTTGGCACACGAGCCATAACACAGAAAATCGCTCATGTTGCAGAAATGGAAAACGTGTGTAGTTGTGTTTATCGGTTGAATGATTGTTTAAACCACTTTTCGTATTTGTCAACTGATTTGATGGTTTACCCAAGACTTTCCCACAGGTTTGCTCTGTGAAACGCATCTGCGTGTTTCTGGGACGTCTGTGTGAAATGGGGGCGCGGAGCAAAGGTCGGCACAGCTGAAATCTTTGGCAAGGCTGCCGGTTCCCGAGGGCTTACAGAACGGCATTGCCAGAATGACGTATAATTCCAAATATCATGGCCCCACAGGTGACCTTGGATGTGTTTAATTAAAGCAGTTTGGTTTGTCTGGCAGCAAACAGATCATCCATCCTAAAATAGCCAAGAGTGGCATGGCATCCTTTAAGTTTAAGGTGTGGCGCGTTATCCTGGCGCTGTCACTGGATGCGTTCTTTGTCAGGGCGCTTTAGCCTTGTATGGTGTGCGGTAAGTTTGGAGAAGAAAGGAAATTGGGCTTGGCGTCTGAGAACGCGCAGACGCATGAGGCGGACACGGGGGCAGGGACGTGAAATCAAGGGCGGAGGTTTGGTTTCAACGTTGCTACTGTAGGGACCAAATCAGTCCCGATCAGCCCACATTCTTAAACACGCACGGTACTCCCACAATTGGTAGGGGCATGTCCTTATCGTCCACACCCAAATCTATACCCTTGCGTGAAAGGCAGACAGCAGGAACTCCTTACTGTTTTCATTCTTCTCATGGCCGAGCTGCAGGAGGACCCCAGCCAGAGGAAGGATTTGGGGAATAGTGTATACAAACTGTTATTCAGAAATTTCAGCTGCAGACTTGGTTCATATATGAAAGGAATATTATTATGGTGTTTTGGGGGCGCCAGTCTAATACAGAGGAAACTGCTAATAGCGATCATGTCTGTCTGGGTGAAATTGATCACTATAAGGATGATCATTAAAAGCATTTTTTTCTTCTTTATGTCTCAGATTATGTGGTGTATGTCTAAGATTAGCATCCAATTGACTTTGTATATTTATTATACGAATGTTTTATAAAATTAATGTTTTATGGTAATAAAACAGATAGCTCCGCTGCATTTACTTAATTTTATTGACGATTTCAAAATTGGCTACAGTACAGCTGTTTCAAACGCTTTTCACATTACAGTACTGTGCAAATTAAATTACTAAACTGTATAATTTAAATATGTTGCAATACAGTACAGTACTGTAAATACACATTCATTTCAATTCAATGTCATTTATACAGCGTATTTTCACAACGTTACATTGTCTCAAAGCGCTTATTGCGGTTTAGCTGCTGCATCTAGTTTTTGGCGGTTTATCATCAGCTGTGATGAGTCGATATTTGCTGTGTTTGTTTTCACCAAACATGACATTGTGCATCATGGCCAAACATCTCCACTTTCGTCTCATCTATACAAAGGACTTTGTTCCAGAAGTTTTGTGGTGTGGTCGGATGCAACTTTGCAAACCCTAGCCATGCAATGTTTTTAGAGAAGATAAGCTTTCTCTTGGCAACCCTTCCAAACAAGCTATACTTGTTCAGTCTTTTTTTAATAGTACTGTCATTAACTTTAACTTGGTGTTTTCTTTCTCTAATTGGTTCTCTAACAGGAACCTGTTTTGTAGAAAAACATCATTTTATTTTGTACTAGGACTAAAAACTAACAAAAAATCATTTCTATCTTAAATCTCCCCTCTGCTGCCGGAGCAAGACACACAGGCACATCAACAAGTGTGGGGGCAGTTAGCACTGGTGAACAGGTTAGTTATGGGGCTTTTCAGAGCTACCAGTAGTGGTGTGCGATACCACAAGATTTGGTATCGGTCCAATACCAAGTAAATATAGCACCAGTATCGCTGATACAGATATCGATATCAATACTTCTTAATAATTAAGGTGGATGCATCATCAAATTGCTAAAGCTGAATTAGTTTTCATTACCTTTAAGTGTTTTTGTGATATTTTTTATTAATTAGTAAAACCAGGTGTTACAATCGCTGATAGCACGGCGGGAAGGAAGGCATGGGAGTCCAGGATACGGGGAAAACTCGGCGTTTAATGAGGGTAGGATACAATCCGGAGCACAAACAGCCATCAGCAACTAGGAGATGTTAATGACAGAACTAGGGAAACAAACTGGAACGTGGACTGAAATACACAGGATCAATTAGAAATAACAGGAAACAGCTGGTGACATCGGGATTTCACGTGAGGTTAAGGAGGGGGTCCCGTGGGATGCCCGTGCCTCGACTGCTCACCCACTTTTTGCACTTTAGTCATATACACAGTCCATATTACATTAGGGCCTTGGGGGTGCGGGGAGGGGGATGGGGGACTCTGCCATCTGCCAGTGGTGGGGCCCTCATACCCGAACTGCACCCACTAATTTTAATGCATTGTAGATATAAACACACAACTCTCTCACACATATACATGCACACTTCACACCAATATGGAACGGGGAGGCAATGGGGGCTGAGGGGCCCCCCTAACTCTCTGTCTCTGGCCCTGCGTGGGTGGGGTGGCCCGCCGGGTGGAAGATCGCGGGCCGGGTGGTGCTTGGCTCTGCTGCGCCGTGGTGGGACCCTGGCGGGCAGTCCGGGGAATCTTGGGACGGTCTGGGCCCTGCTAGGCGGATTGGGGGGTTCGGTTTGGGCTGGGCAGGGGGGTCTGCCGCTCCCCGGTCGCCACGGGTCCGCTCCCGGGTGGGGGGGGGGGGCTCTTTGTCTTTATGGGCCCCCCTTAGATCATCCTGCAGTGTCAGAGGGGGGACGTGCCGGGTCGCTGCGGTGGACGCTGCAGTTGATGGGGCCCTTCAGCCCTGGACCCGCTTTCCTCGGTGGGGGGGTTGCAGGCGGGACTGGGGGGCTCGCCGCCCATCCCCCTTCTGCGGGCCTCCCTGTAGGGGGGTTGGGCGCCCCCTTAGTCCCTCGCGGGCTCCCTCTCAGGTTGGGCAGGTGGTTGCCTCGGGGGCGCGTGGCCGTGGGCCCTTGTGCCGGGGGGGCGGTGGGGTGGCCTTGGTTGCCTGGTTTCCCCTGTCTTCGCCTTGGGCCCGGGGGTGGGGGCTCTGTCACGTCCCCTGACGGCATCAAATGCCAGCACATCCAATGACAAATCACACATACAATGACAAATGAGTTCACACCTACACTTGCACATACAAGGATGGGCGCATAGGAGGTTGAGCGATCAGTATCATCATCATTATTATTTCTTTTAGCGTATGTTAAAGTTCGGAGCGGCCACACTCTTTACTCTTTAATTTAATGTAAAATAAAGTTGTCCTCCGAAGAGGGGGGTGGTGGGCAATAATAAAAAAAAACAAAAAGGAGGGGGTCGTGGCACACCGAAGGATCGGACGAGCAGGGCGTGACACCAGGACAGAATTTGGGCAAAGTATATAAGTAAATAAATACTTTATTATAAAACACAAGTAACACAAAATGTCTTTTTCTTAAATAAAGTGCACAAAATTAGAGAACCGGCTTTGAAAA